CCACCCTACAATTTCTTCTTATCTCCCCAGGCTGCTCCAACTGCAAGTCACCCATTTTTATCATCCCTTCAACAAAGGCCTCGAAAAATTCGCTTTGGTTAATGCTAAACTGCTTCACAAATTTCCTTGTTTGTGGAAATGTGAAAAGTGTTTGATCTGAATTCAGAAACCCTCTCCCTGCAACCAAGTCCTTGAAGTACTGGTTATCGAACACAAAAGGTGTAGCATCAAGGTCTCCGGTCACATTCTGGTCCACGTTCAGCGGGCAAAGCTTGTTTAGCTTTTCTCTAAACTTTGGTTCAAGGACCGGGTCTGGCCTACCTGTGCCGGATTGGTTGTACAGCCGAAACATGATGGAAAAGCACCGACCTTGGCCAATGGAGTGTGACCCAGAAAGGGCAACGAGGTCCTTGACAGAGAGATTAAATTTTCCAAACAGATCAATGAGGAGGCTTGCATTGGCTCTTGGACTTGGCATAATGTTGTCTGAGGCTTCTTGGCTAGCTGTTAAGCTATCCAATCTTCCTAGCTTCACTTCCCAATTGGGTCCTCCAGTCTGATTAAGAAAATAATTATACTCCTTTCACAATTTTTCTTTAGTAACATTAATTTTCTACAACAGAAGGTACAAATGTCATGGCATAATACAAAATCTACAGTTGACATACAATTCTTCAAGTTTGGCCTACTTCACCCCTAAGCTGAACAGTTCTTTCTAACCAAGACCAAGTGATGTTGGAATTTGATTTGAGAAAATAAAAAAGAGTTTATAACCCATCAATTATCTTTCCACAGTTTTACCCTTTTCATCCTTTAACGACAGGTTGTTACTCTCTCTCTCTCTCTCTCTCTCTCTCTACAGGCAATCCCATCTTGATGACCTTGGGTCAATCAACTGGTTTCAGTAATTGTGTGTACGCACTTAAAAACTACAAGTCTTACCACTCTGTTTTGAAAGGTGACATATGGTATAGATAAAGAGAGTTTAATACCAGGGCAACAGCATCTCTAGAGGCCATGATTATGATATCTGCGCATGAAACAACTCCAGGGCAGACCTTCTCCAAGGCTTCCTTGGCTTCATCAACAACTTCATAAGATCTCAGTGAATTTATATTTGAAAGGGAAAGTTTTTCTCCAAGCATGGTGGTTGTGTCATCAAGTAACATAGAAGCATCACAACCCTATTAGTATGCAAGTTAAATCATTAACACAAAGGTACAAACCAGAAATCTTTAACACAAAGGCCTCTGCAAAATATTTATTAAAAAAAAACAAAAGAAGTATTGGGAAATATAAAATTTTACTTGGATAGGATAAGATAGTGTTTACTTACATTAACAAAGCAGTCATGGAATTGGAAGCGCATGACAGAGGCAAGGCTCCGGGGCTCTCTAATCAGAGCCTTCTCCATGACATCCCGGACCACGAATTCGGCTCCTGGGCACGTTTTCGAGTAATGGCCTGGCCGGAGTTGCGCGGCGGCCACAGTTATGTGAAGGAGGATGAGTGGAAACAGAGGAGACATTGAAATTTTGAGGCAGTTAGGCAGAGGTGTGTGTGTGTGTAAATTGGTCCAAAAAAACTGTGGGTGTGAGATGGCTCTTACTCTTCTCTCTTGGCAATATGCATGTCTGATTTTGATAAATTCCCTTCAAAAAAGAGTGTTTGGATTCTTTGTTTCTCTCTCTTCCTGGTGTCAAAAAATTAAAGGGTTATTATGTTGTGAGGAGAGGAGGCAGCAGAAGCCAATTGGCTGAGAGAGCCGCCTGAAGTCAAGATCGATAGGTTGTTTTGTGGGTGGGGACAAGTGCGTCAACAATTACGACAGCCACGATGCTTTCATTTCTGCATCCAAATTCGTAATGCAAATTTTTGGTTTTGTCTGAAGCTATCTACCCCTTTTTTTTTATTCATCTTGACTCAAAAGAAAAACAAGCTTTTAGAACAAAAAAACAGAACCAGCTTTTAGCAAATAAGGCAAACGATTGATGCAGAATGAGCAAGTAGGTCTTTATTTTCTGCACTTTGAATTGAATGCTTCATTGTAGTGGATAATCGTATCCAAGAATGAAATGGGGTTGGGTAGGCTGTCAAAGTACTTCTGCAAGATGGACCTCAAGTGATGATTCATGGGTCCTATCCTAAGGCAGAAAAACTTGTATGAGATGGGGCTGTTTTGCTATCCCTGATCAATCACATTCACAGTTTAGAAAAAGTTATCATGTAGCATACAATGATTGGACGGAAATAGCAAAATAATACTATCCCTGTTTCATGTAGGTGTTTCTCATCCTAAGGGGATTCTTTTTTTTTTCTTTTTTCTTTCTGGAGTTGTTTTGTTTTGATATTTATTTGTGTGGTCCTAGATCCGTCGTTGTTTTGGGGTTTTGATATTTTTTCCTCTGTTTGGGTGTATTGTTCTGATTGCATGGGAGAGAAATATCTTTACCAAATGGGTGCATGTTGGGCTAGGTCATTTGATGTGATATGAGGATTTGATTGCTAGAATATGTCGCTGTTGTTGCTCTTTGTTTGGGCTTTGGCTCCCAACCCAAAGCCGATTTCCGGTTTCAAGGTGAAGCAAACCAAACCATACTCACCCATAAGAAGAGGAACATAGGTGAGTTTTCTGAAATCCACCGATCTGTGAGGGAAGGCTGGATTTGTTGTGGGCTGAAGTGTACCCTTAAAATCCACTACTTCATAAATTCCTTCAAAATCACCAACTTTTCAAACGCATATGAATTTTTGTACTTTAAAAAATTTATGATTGAATACAATTGAAATTTTATGGACTTTTAAAAAACCCACCAAAGTCCAGATTGAATACACATGTACTTTTACAAGCTCTTCCCACCAGCATGATTGAATACCCGTAAACTTTTAAACTCTTTATATATATATACAACATAATAGATTTTTAAACTCTTAAAAAATCTCAATTAAATACACAACTGCTCAAAAAGCCCAACTCATAAGCCCAAACTAGCCCAAGGACCAGATTACGGTCCCCTAAAACCCACTGCTTAGCGAACAGAACAGCGGAGCTCTTTTCTCTTGTTTGTTCTCTGAGGCCAAGCATCAAACAGTTAAGCTACATACACAAATGGGAGGCGGCGGCGGCAGAGGCAGAGGAGGTTCTCGCACTCAGCGACGCCACTTCCGTCAGAACAGAGAGAACGTTTGGAAACGTCCCAAGTCTGACCCTTCTTCTGAGAACAACCCGGAAAACAATGGTGAAAATCGTGGCTGGCAGCCCTTTGCCACTCAGAATCCCGCATTCGATGAATATTATAAGGTGATATCATATTCTGTGTATACGTACATATATTGGATACAGTATTTCTTTTCTTTCTAAAAGAAGTTATGCTCTTTGCTAATTTTTTGGCATGTGTGTGATGGTTTGTAGGAGCAAGGGATAGTGACCCCAGAAGAGTGGGATGGATTCATTGAAGTTCTTCGAAAGCCGTTGCCTGCTGCTTTTAGAATCAATTCAAGGTAATTTAAATAATTTCTTTGCGATGTTGTTTTTGTTAGCATTTTCGTATTTTATGCGCGGCTTAATTCTATGTGAATCACATTTCTGAATTGAGTTTCTGTAGATGTAGCCATTGACTGAATAATAGGTTTTGTTTTTGTCTTTAATGTTGCAGTAGCCAATTTTGTTCGGACATCCGAACCCAGTTGGAGAATGACTTTATGATATCTCTTCAAGCTGAGGTTGGTCTCTTGTAGGCTATTTTGTTACTACAATGTGGCGACAGATTGTGTTGCATCATTTGGTTTTTATTGTAATGCATTTATGGTTGCTTCTTGTTTATTATTTGAACTAAACTGTTCAGGTAAGTGAGGGGGGTGAACTGGTGCCTATTAGGCCATTGCCTTGGTACCCTGAGAATCTTGCTTGGCATTCAAATTTTTCTCGCATGCAGCTGAGGAAGAACCAAACACTTGAGAGGTAAATGATGCATTGTTTGAGAATACTTTGTAGTATAAGTGGTAGATATGTGCCTGGAACCAAGGTAACCTAAGACCTGTTTCTTTATGGTGCTTGTTACGGATAATAGTGGTAAAAGCCTATTTTTCGATGGGCTGGTAGTATGATGGGTTTTTTAGGCCACCTGTCCTGTAGTTCTTTCAGTTTTGAGATTAATGGATGAGATTGGCTCTTGTATTCCCAAAGGAGTTCCTATATGAGTACTACTAATACGTATCTACCATAACAGTTTTTCTGGTTTCCAGTTGATCCTCCTCCAATTGCTAGTGTGTATACAATTTGAACAAGTTCTCCATGATGCTATCAAATCACTCAAGCTCTCCATGCTAATATTTTTATATGTCAATTCCTGGTTCTGATGGTATGAATTTCTCAGGTTTCATGAGTTCTTAAAGCTTGAAAATGAGATTGGAAACATCACAAGACAGGAGGCTGTCAGCATGGTGGGCCAATGTTATTTGTAGTCTGTTCCTTTATGGTTTACAAACTGACATTGTGCTGTAATATTTATTTATATTTTATAGTGTTTCAGCGCATTTAGTTCACTTATCCAGTTAGTTTTTTAAAAATTTATTTGTAGTCTGTTCCATGATGCTCAAGTATCCAGTTAGTTTTTTTTAAATTTATTTATTTACTTTTTATGATACAGGTACCTCCTCTATTCCTTGATGTACGTCCAGATCATTTTGTACTTGATAGTAAGCAACTTATATTGTTTATATCTTTATTCTAATAGTGTGCAAATTTAAAAACCTTGTTGACCAAATGATGAGACATGGAATTAATGAGCATCAAGTGAAAATGTAATTGGTTCTGTTCTATAGCGAGTTTGTAAGCTTCTTCTGGGCATTGTAAAGGGCTGAATGAACAACGTAGTTTGGATGGGAGATGCATAATTTCTTGTGGAACTTTATTTCTTGAAAGCACTCTGTTCTGTGTTGTATAGTTTAGTTTTTATAAGGAAATCTATAACAGTACTCCAATTGCTTGTGACTGATCATTCATTATTTTGTTTTTGTTTCAAAGACTAAATCTAGTGCTTTCTGACCATTTGCTATAATTTTTCTCAGTGTGTGCTGCACCAGGTTCAAAAACATTCCAATTGCTTGAGATTATACACCGATCAACAAAACCCGGATCCCTACCTGATGGACTGGTATGCATCCTTTTAAATATATGTTGTTTTACATTTCTTACATCATATTTTATATAGTCTGTTATGTGTTTTCCTCTGTCAAGTGTGGATTATTATCCCGCCTTTCAATCTCATATATGATTCTCCTAGTTAGTATTTTTTTTCATTGATATGACATGAATTTTCCCTCATTTTACTACTGTCTAAGACATTGATGCCTAGTTTTATTGTTCCCTTGATTAGGTTGTAGCAAATGATCTTGACGTCCAAAGATGTAATCTACTCATCCATCAAACAAAAAGAATGTGCACAGCCAACTTGATAGTCACAAATCATGAAGCTCAGCACTTTCCTGGATGCCGTTTAAAAAAAAGTTGTTCTACTGCTTCTGAAATAGGAGCTGAAAAGGAGCCACCCATCAGCCAACTTGTCTTTGATCGTGTTTTATGTGATGTCCCTTGCAGTGGAGATGGTACCCTTCGCAAGGCTCCTGATATCTGGAGGAAATGGTAGAACTTTTACTTTCAATCACATTTTCTTTTGGTAGGTTGATGATATTTGTTTTGCTTATTTACAGGCATGTTGGATTGGGCAATGGGGTCCATCCTCTACAAGTTCAGATAGCTATGCGAGGTATCTTTGATGCAAAACTTTTGCTCCGAATTTCTATATAATTTTATGGCTCTATGCTTTGTGGTTTTATTCCCATAGATACTGTCCCATGTGCATATTCAGATTTCCTTGAAACGATGAGGATATAATCTGGAAACATCAAACATGTATAGCCCAGATGTGTTTCTTTCTGGATATTATTTCTGTTCTCCTGCAAGATAAATACTTGGATTTATTGGTGTGGTCAATCAGTAAAAATAGGACTTTCAATGCAATGCTTTTCATTTGGTGTGCATACCAAACATAGCTGAGGTTATATTGTTTATTCTAGGTTTATCTTTGCTTAAAGTTGGTGGAAGAATGGTTTACTCTACCTGCTCCATGAATCCTGTTGAGAATGAGGCTGTGATTGCTGAGGTAATATGTTTGGTTATTTTTCTACACAAAAAGATGTAGGATCTGTGGAATTAACATTTTTGTAAATAGTAATTCTCTGTGCAGTTGCATGGTCTTTCATAAATTAAATTGTATTGTGTTAATTTATTTTCACTTTGTGATCGCTTGAAAGCTAGTTCTTCTTCTTATACAGATGTTGTTTTGTATAATGTTTGTATCATGCTATTGTTGTTATAAAAGTTTGTATCGATATAGCTACATTGCTCGAAACAAAATATTTAACTTGGGGCATGGTTCGTTCAAAGATTGTAATTTGTAAGCAACAACAGCTTGATTTATCCTTACATATGAAGAGAGCTTGTAGGCCATGATAGATAACCATTGGATGCTAACCATACAATTATTATTTCTTCTGGTTCTCTTGACTCATCATTGTTCACCTTTTGCCAAACTGTTCAGTGGGTTGGAGCATGTGTTGATCTACACATGATTAATTGATTTTCTAATTTGTTTATTTGGTTAGTGTGGACGTGTTTTATTTCTGATTTATAACACATTTTATTTCTGATTTATGTTTTAGCCTTTAATATATGTATGTTTTGTATGTGAAAAAGTTCCTTTGTTGCAGAGTCACATCATTTTTTTGTTTGGATGACTTTTCTTATTTGGAGAAAGTGTTCCTTTTTCTAGTCCTGTGACTTTGCATGGGTTGTGGTCTTATGACCCTATTTGACCATGTCTCAATTTTTTGCAGATTTTGCGGAAATGTGATGGGTCTGTTGAGCTTGTTGATGTCTCTAGTGAGCTTCCTCAACTTGTTCGGCGGCCAGGTCTTAAAAAGTGGAAGGTTAGTTGTTAGTTTTACCTTTGTGTGCTAGTGCTTACTGTTAAAAGTTTGATGTGCAAAACATATTATTGAATACAACTGTTCCCCTGGTTTGTGTAGTGTGGGTTTCTTTCTCAATTACCAAATAGGATGGATTCCGATATCTTTGCCATAAATAATTTGTTTTTACCTGTCAAAACGAGGGAGAGGAGAAGATCTCATATAGATATCCATTATTTCTCATGCTAAAACCTGCAGGGGTTAAGAAATTGTATTGCAATCTATGCATCACATCAATGTTAGGTGAAACCATTTTATACTACCTGGCTGCTTGATTGTGTATAAGTCAGGTCTACATTTTGATTTTTGCTTGTCTCGAATGCATCAAATTTAAATATATAGCTATCTCATAGCATGGAAAGCTAATTCTATAAAGATAGTGATCTAAATTATTGTTCAAACATCACCTACTGAGTTGCATCAGTTGCAGCTTTAGAGTTTTATGTTCAGTGTATAAATCAATATTCAATCACTTGCCAATGCAGGTACGTGACAAGGGTAGGTGGTTAGTTTCCCACAAAAATGTCAGCAAATATCGCAAATCTGTCATTGTTCCCAGCATGTTTCCTTCTGGAAGAAGGTTTACAGAACCAACAGACCATAATGGTAGTATGGAAGTGGAAGAAAAGCATGAGAATGGTGGAAATGGAAATGTTGAAGATGCATTGGAGTCAAGTGATGATCCTGCAACTCTAGCCAATGAACAAGATGAGGAAGTTTCTGATTTTCCACTAGAATGCTGCATGAGGATAGTGCCGCATGATCAAAATGGTGGAGCTTTCTTCATTGCTGTCTTCCACAAACGTTCTGATTTGCCAGGTGAGTTCAAGTATCTACCTAGTCATTGGATCTTTCTTAAGAATTGAAGTGCTTTGAGGTAGCGTACCTGTGCTAAAATGTTAGCTCTTATAATTATTATTATTTTCTTCTTTGGTATCAATCCGTTGTTTCCATCATATAGAGGAAACTTGTCTCTGTTTTGTGTCATTTGCAATATGTGAGGCCTGTACTTTGTTTAGGATCTGAAGCAAGTCTTGTGCTGCCATGTTTTGCTTTGGCTTTCCTCATAAGAGAATTCCAGTTTATTCAATTTTTTATTATTTTTAATATAGTTCCTCGTTCCCTTTTATTGAAAAGCCAATCAGGGAAAACCTAATAGTCTGGAAGGGGACTTGGGCCCTAGGAATGATGAGCCACAGGTACAATTACAAAATCAGAGCACTGAAGATACAAATGGGATTGTGGCTAGTTTAGCAGATGGTACAGATGAGACATTTTCTGAAGCAGCTTCAGAGGCAGAGTTGATAAAGGATGAACTAGATGGGGATTCTTTGGAACTTGATCCATCCGTTACATGTGAAGAAAATGTAAATGTATCGGAGGAAGCCCAAGCACCTAGTGATAAGGAAATTGATCCCAAGAAAGCTGGAGGAAAGAGGAAGTTGCAGACTCAAGGCAAGTGGAGAGGTGTTGACCCTGTTGTTTTCTTTAAAGATGAAGCCACCATCAATAGCATAAAGACATTCTATGGCATTGATGAATCATTTCCCTTTAATGGCCACCTTGTCACAAGAAACAGTGATGCTAATCATGTGAAGAGAATTTACTATGTCTCAAAGTCAGTCAAAGATGTTCTTGAACTGAATTTCTCTGTTGGACAGCAACTTAAGATAACCTCCATTGGGCTAAAGATGTTCGTAAGTATTTCACAGATAAATTTGATTTATATTTCTTTTAAATTAATGTTGCTCCGAATTTATAGAGACATAGGCAAAGAAAGTTGTGCAAAACTTTCATGCCTATAGATAAGTTGATCACTTGCTAATATCGTAGTGTGTGTAAAATTAAGATAATGAGCAAGAGAACTGTTTACAGGGTTATCCTTCTTGCTTAGCTTCCCTTGTGGAGTGTAAGAGCTAGTGCAAAATAGCCAAAGGAATATCTGTAAGGCAAAAGAAAAGAAGAAATATAATACAAAGGAGAACACCTATGATGGAATGCTCCTAAATGAGAAACTAAAGCATATGAGATATGTTAGAAAGAATATATTTAAATGCATTTATTTTGAACCTTATTATATTGTGAGTGCTGGATTCCGAATTTGTAGTTATATTTATAAGTTCATCCTAGGTTCCTCGTGCTCTAAGCTAAAGATTCTGGTACAGCCCTTGATTGTTGAACAAAATATTAGACAATCTGGTGTTACTAATATTTGGAAGCAATTTCTTCCTAATTTATTCTTGTTCTCAACAGGAACGACAAACTGCAAGAGAAGGAAATTTGGCTCCCTGTTCATTTCGGATATCATCAGAAGGATTGCCACTTATTCTTCCATACATCACCAAACAGATTGTATATGCATCCCCGGTGGACTTTAAGCATCTTCTTCAATATAAAAGTATCAAGTTTGCAGATTTTGTTGATGCTGAGCTCGGTCAGAAAGCATCAGGCTTAATGTCAGGATGCTGTGTAATAGTTTTGAGGAAAGGTACATGGCAGCATGTGGTCAAGGACAACTAATGCATATTCATGTGTATAATTTTTAACCTAAGTAAATTTTACATCTGCAGATGGCAAAGCCTCGTCGGATTCCATTGAAGTAGATGAGTCAACAATAGCCATTGGATGCTGGAAAGGTAAGTCCAGTTTGTCTGTGATGGTCACTGCAATTGACTGCCAAGAACTGCTAGAAAGGCTTTTGATGCGCATGGAAACTGAGAAGGGATCTTTGGAGAAGAAAGACGAAGCCTCTAATGCCAAGGGGGATGAGGAACAGGATATAGAGGATATGGAAAAGAATGGTGACGAGGAAAGTATCACACTGGAGACTGAGGGTTAAGCGACAACTTCTGGGCTTCCAGATTTCCATTGTTGTACTCTAATTTCATAATTTAAAACAGGTGTTTTAATTGATATGCCATGACTTCATTTTATCTTTAATATTTCAACAAAATTGGATTTTCTTATTTTAGCATGGAAGACATCTTTGTATTTTGCCTCATCAAGTTGTTGCATAATCTTGAGAACAGAGCAATTTTGATCTAGCATATTAATCATCTCCATTTGTATTCTTAATCATCATTGCTGGTTGGAATCATGTTCGTATGGTGTAACCAATGATATTTGCATTTGGCGTGTAATCATGCTGCTCAGAAATTGCTACAAGAACTTGAAAGCTAGTTCTTCTTCTTCCTCCCTGCATCATTGGATAGGTTGAGAGTGTTGAGATTATTAGGTTGAGAGGGTTGAAATCGCACGCTACAGTCTTCCTCTTACAATCACTAGCATTTTATTTGTAATTATCACTTACGTATCTTTCCATATGTTGTCCTTTCCAAAAGAAAACACTGAACTCTACTCCTGCTAGTAGAACTGGTTAACCAATTTTCTCCCCCCGCGCGCGCGCACACACACACATATATATATATATATAAATTCTCTTATGCGGACATCCGGAAGTTATTATCGTGCGGACACCGTGTATTTTGTACTACCCCTCTCTGTTTTCCTGCCTGTTTACAATAGGATCCGCACGATAATAACGTGCAGACATCCGGATAAGAGAATAACTATATATATATATATATATCCAAGTCACTCACAACATTCAAATAAGTATTCAATTAAGTTCTCTTTATTTCTTTTTCATTTTTCTTGTTTTGGACATTCATAACTCCAAAAATGTTTTTAATTAATGAAAATATTACGAAATGAAACCATTCAGTAAATGAGGATAATATTAAACAAATCACACCCACCTGAAGAAATTATATAATGGTATTATAATATGGCCATGTGGGAGACTACATGAGAAGGCTAATTGACAGGCTCAAAGCGCGTGTCAAAGGACTTTTCTGCTTCAGGTTAGAGTTTCTCCCTTCTATTTGGTGTCTTGTTGATGACATCAAAGGATAGATGCATCTTATACAGTGATGAGTAGGGTTTGCATAAAAACCATTCATACTTAAAAGAACAGATCATAAAGAGGCAAACCCAAATCAGCTTCATTTCAAACAAGCAATTAATCAGCTCATGCAAACTAAACTAAAGCCATGTAAAAAATATACAAAGGAAATATATAACACCCCTCAAAATTTGCTAGTATTAAGAACGTAGAAGAGAGCATCCGGGTTCAGAAATCAACGATCCAATGAAATCACGATGTACAGCACACCTTGCTCTTAGCTGGGATTTCTTGTGCAGGGCCTGGGATGACGATCTTCTTACCAGACAGAGATGCAGGGTTGCCATTAGCTTGATTTTCTATGGCAGCCAGGCTCTTCTTGTTAACAATGTTGAATATCTCTGTCAACACAGTCAAGAAAGCAGACTCCACGTTTGTTGATTCCAGTGCTGAGGTCTCCAAGAAAAAAAGTCCTTCCTTTTGAGCAAACTCTTTGGCATCTTCAGTGGGGACTGCACGCTGGTTCTCGAGATCACTTTTGTTGCCTATCAGAATAATGACAATATTCTTGTCTGCGTGGCTACGCAACTCTTCCAACCAACGGGGTATGTGATCAAAGCTCTGGCGTTTGGTTATATCATAGACAAGCATTGCCCCAACAGCGCCCCTGTAGTATGCACTTGTAACTGCTCTATATCTGCTCAAAACACCAGAAGAGAAGTAGAATAATCAGTTGCCAATACACCATTTGTGAAAGTTAACAGGAGTCAGGTGGGAAGATTATTCCATAGCGTGAAGGTAAATAAGTGACAGCAAAGAGTGAAGGCTTCGAACCCCACCTAATTTACATTCCAACCAATAATAATTTCTTTTCAAATGATGTACTTTGTTTAGTTACATTGAAATCTTTGTTTATGCAAAAGGGAGCAAAAGCCGAGCCTCATATGATTGTGTGAACATATCGACTTGGGTCATGAATACTCCTTTAATTGGCTTCATAGTTCATCCAGTGATGAAAGAAGTCATATAGAATCCAACACTCCAACTACTCTAACTTATGCGATAATAGCTCATAAAGATAGCATAAGACTGAGAAGCACATATCATCTGATACTAAACAAAGATAACAATAAGTTTATCCAAAATCGTTCATCCTATAAAAGACAACAATCTCACCCATGTAATCATCCATTCCCACCCCGAAATAGATCAACTCAAAATCTGGGACCTCATTTTAAAAAGGGTAACAATTCTTACCACGCTGTATCATCCATGACAACATCCAAGATTGCAAGGCCGCCAAAATGGCATAAAAGGTAGGATATGGATCCAACACAAATTCATATCTTTGAAAAGCATATTGCTAGTGGCCGGTATTTACAACTAAGCAATGCATGGATCACATAAAGAAAGGGTATCTAATTTCATTCTATGCATTTAAAAAGCATTTAAAGTATCTAATCATTTGAGTGGAGTGCATTTATGAGATAAAAAATACATGGATCTATATTCTTAGGTAATAAGAAAATGTAATACAACATCACAAACTACTAATCTTACTCCTACTTTTCCCTCCCTTTTTCCCCAGTTTAATAATCTCAATCAGTTCAATTCTAGCATACAGATGAAAAATTTTATCAGCAATCCACTTAAACCAATATCAGCATCACAGAATGTAATCCACCTTATACTTCAAAAGAAAATTAACCCAGAGAAAAAAAAATTTACACAAAGCAACACCTAAAAAGTTCTACTAGAACTGAAAAACCCATCAAGTAGAGTAGAGCTGCTGCAAACTTTCAAAATCCTAAAACCCACGTAGCAGATCGAAGAAAAGGGCTATAAGCTACAGAAAACAGAAAGAGAACAGAGAGAGAGAGAGAGAGAGAGAGAGAGAGAGAGAGACCGTTCTTGGCCAGCAGTGTCCCAGATCTGAGCTTTAACACTCTTGTGCTCGATGACAAGGGTCCTGGTCTGAAACTCAACGCCGATGGTGGCCTTAGAATCCAAGCTAAACTCGTTTCTAGCAAACCTGGCCAGAATCTGAGACTTGCCCACTGCAGAGTCCCCTATCAGCACCACCTTGAACACATAGTCTATCTTCTGGTTCGAGTCTCCATATCCTCCTCCACTCGCCATTTTCCACCCAACCCAGTAAAGTAAAAAGAAATCCCAGATCGCTACTTCTGCTATTAAAACCCCAAAAAGGCCTCAAATTTATTGAACTCCCCAAAAGACGATAACTTTTCCTTTTGCTGCTGCTTGCAATTATGTTAGAGTCTAAATGTGGTCACCCCCATTGCCTTGCCTGTGAGCTGACCAACCAGAGCGTGACACGCTTGTGGGAATGATAGGTAAGTGGTGACGTGGAGGTCTGGGATTGATTGGGTTGGTGGTGGGCTCGGGGAAGAAGGAACAGTGTGAAACAGGGTATTTGTTGTCCATGATTGATGTGCGCGGTGTCAGACAGCGTATGTCTCGGGTGAGTTGTCTGTTTTGGCTGGTTGACGGTCACGCCGATGCCCCCTTTCTTCGGAAACTTAAAACGACTTGTCGCTTCGTCCAGACTTTAGAACCACAGATAAAAAGGATAATGGGCTTTCTTATTTGGGCTTGGGCCTCTGTCCAAAATACAAGCTGAGTTTCATTTTCTGGCCCAACAAAGGACTAGATTTTGTTTCCTAATTTTAACCCACATGGGGTTTAGGGAGTGTGTCGAGGGATTCAATCCAATCGTCCAAGAATAACATTTTTATTGATTGGATAGTAGTGCTTTTGATTGTGAACCTTTTGAGTGTTTTTAATTGTTAACCTCTCCTTCTATATTAAAATCTCTAATAAATTTAAGAAATTAGTTCATATTAAATGAATCGCATCAAATCTTTCAAGTTGCGGCCCGTGCTTATGTTAATTTTGCTTTTTGAAATTGTCAAATCTTCTAGGAGTTGAAGCCCCAATTTTTGTTATTTATAAAACTTCATATCCCTTTCCTGGCTTTAAATAGACAACTTTTTATTTTTCTCCTACCAATGGTTTGGGAGTTGCTAACAGAAAAAAGACTAATTATATAACATGCATAGTAACGTTGAATGTGGAGTCCTTTTATCCTTAAATGTTCAAATAGTGATCCTTAACATATAAAGAGTGCTGCTATTTCCACCCCCAGTCATATTTCCCCACCCACCTTATCTTCCCACCCACCATGTAAATTTGAAAAAACATAATCCTATTTTTACACCGACCATTATTCCTAAAATACCCTTTAATTATTAATTCAAGCAAATTCTCCTTATTTTCATTCTAAGCATGCTTCAAACCTTCAACCCCTGTCAATCAAAACACGTGGGATCCTCTGTAAAGTATTATTAAAAATTAAAAAAAATAAAGAAAATCTCTCTCAATGTTCATCGTCTCTCCACCGAAAGAAAAAAATAACGAAGAGAAATGCCAGAATTAGAAAGAAGACGAAGAGCAAACTGAGCAAATGGAATAGAAAGCGTGTGCCCTTGGGTTCAGAAACTGAGGAGAAATCTGATGGAATTGGATTGGACCCAGCTGGAAATTTTGAAGCTTTATTGGAATTTTGATTTGGGTTTGGTCGGGATGAGGGAGAGAGGGAGGGGTTGGGGTTTGACAAGGATGAAGGAGAATAGTTGTTTTTTTTAATCTAAAGTCCTTAAAAGTCATTTTACAAATGGATAAATTTGTTTTTAAATTTTGAAGATAAGGTGGGTGGGGAAATAGGACAGGTGGGTGGAAATAGCAGCACTCCATATAAATGACATTTCCATCCAACATTTTGGGAAACAGAGTACAGTTGACAATTGTTTCTATAAATGCACACCATTTCTTCTGTACCTTTTGGTTGACCAAAAAAAAAAAAAACAGGACTTTTTTTGTTCATGGTTGCTAGCGATAATTGTTCCTATATATCACAAAAATGACAAAGTTTTTAATTTTTTATACTTTTTTTTATACAAGTTATAATCTAAATTACTCTAATCTACGGAAAATGGGGAGTTGAACTTGGATGCAAAAGGACTGGCTCACTGCTCTAACCAATTGGCCTAACTCACGTGTGTTAATTGTTTACACTTATTATTGATTTGCATGCAGACAAATTTCTTCCTCGAACTTAAAATCAAACCCAAATGAAAAAGTTATTTGCTATTTCCAGCCATTTTCTTGTTTAAAAAGTTTCCATTTGACAAGAAAAGAAGATCAGCCTCCATTTAACCACATTCAACCCACCTTATTATAGTAAAACAAACCAACTTATAATTAGCAAACGTATTTCATCAATCCACACAATTTGCAATGATTGATTCAAAACTCTGCTTTGGACCTCTTCGGATCGGCCTGCCAGGAGATGATCCTTCTTGTAACTTCTCCTGGAAAAGAAGAAGTTTTACCATGTGGTTTTGTATGATGAATTGGATTAATTAATCTCTTATTGAATCACCATGCGGCTACAATTGAATACTAACTCCCTTTATTAGTTTGTGTTAGTATTAATCAAATACTTTCTAAGGGTTAATTGTCGATATGAAGAAAAAAATTATCGGGATAAGAGTTTGTAACTCAAGTGGTTAATAGCAGTTATCATGTGCATGAGGTCATTTCGTCGTATTTTAGTCAAATGGCTTAATTCAATAGCATGAATAGCTAGTTGGAGGAGACCATATGGAAAGGACCATAAACACACTCAAACAATAGCTCTTGTGTAAGTATAGTTGTTTGGGCCTGGTTGAAATTTGACCGGGTCAGGCCCAAGATACAACAATTAAATTAGCATTGAACCCAACTAGTGGGCCTAATCAACAAGGTCGGATAAAAGCCCAAAATCATAAATATTGCATAATATCTACATATTCCAGAGTATCTACATGTGGCAAAATACATTAATCTGCCGAACACATCAATATGGCCGAGAGCATAAAAGTGGTCGAGAGCTTATATGCGACTGAAAGTGTAGATACGATCGAATGACTAAAAGCGGCCGAAAGTGTGGATACGGTTAAATGACTAAAAGCGACCAAATACATAAAATCAGCCAATACTTAAATAAGGAGAGAGATAATTCGTAGGAGGTTACAATTCAAATATAGAAGGAATTATGCCAGCTTGATGGTCAACCAAAGTTATTGTGGGAGAGCTCAAGATGGAAGGAAGATCAAATCAAATATTATTATTCACATTAAATCACATGCATGAGACAAGGGATTGAAGATATTCTGTAGCAATTATGATTAATTTGAAGGCCAATTGACGACCGACCAAATTGAGATGCACCGAAGCCCTTATAAATACCAAGCTTATGAAAGAGAGAAAGAACCCCCGACACAACACACAACTTGTAATTTTACATTCTCTTCAATTTCTATCCTAGAAGTAGCATAATGTAACCATAGCCTAGTTCTTATTTTTTCCACTCTAGTTTCTGTATATTTCAATTATGCCTTTACATTCTTGTTCTTGTTTTTCAATTCCATTTTAATTACAATAATTTCAATTCACGTTATCTTTACTGTTCTTCGTAATCTAGTTTACTTTCCGCCCTTTCTTTACGCACTCGCATTTCAATTATTTAATTTACGCAATTTACATTACGCACTCGCATTTCAATTATTTAATTTATGCAATTTACATTACGCACTCGTCTTTACATTCATTATTTTACGCACTTTAAATTACACACTCTTCTTTACATTCTTTATTTTAAGCACTTTAAATTATGCACTCGTCTTTACATTCTTTATTTTAAGCACTTTAAATTACGCACTTGTCTTTAAATTATTTATTTTACGCACTTTACTTTCCGCACTTATCTTTCAATTATATTTAAATTCAAGCACCTTTTACTTTATGCGCGTGTTCTTCGTTTCATTACATTTCACCTTCAATCTTCATCTCCACCCACTCCACATCATTTGGCTGCTCAATAAAGCCTTGACTTCGAGGTAGTGAAAGAACTTACGCCATGATAAGGTTCCTTGCTCAGCCGAACAATCGTTTGATTAAAGTCAGATTTCAGACGCATTATCTACTCACATTCCATTCAAGCCCAAATTCGTGGCTTGGTGGTGGCACGCCCCACACTCAAAAGAAGAAGGACCAAAAACTCCTTCAATCGGCCTACCCAGCTGAAAAGAGGGAAACAACAGTACATGCAATGAAGACGCACATTTATAAGGAGGGTGGATATATAGATAGCAGCCTACCTCCATACCTAAAATGGAAAGGACAGATATGACTATAAATTTTTGGATGGGAAGTTGGAAGGCTCTCCAACATCCAGCAAATCAATGGAATTGACAGAGGACAAAACTCAATTAATACGTTCAAATCATCAAAAGTCCAAGCAAGCAACCAAAGATTATGTATGAAAGTAGAACACACATTTGTCTTTGATGACAGAGCTTAGATTTGCAATAAACCATGTGGTTTTATTCGTTCTTTTTTAACTGCACAAATAAACAAAACAAGTTTATTTTTCTTGCTAAGCAAAAGATGAAAGAAGATCTGGTCATAGCTCACAACCTGTCAAGCATTTGGAAGTACTTTAAATACCAAGAAACTGAGAAGTTAGAGTTTAAGTTGGCCTTTTCAAATTTACTTGAAACCAATTGGCATGGAGTTGAGTTCTTCAACTAATGTCCCAAGATGGACACCAAGTCCAAGCCCAACAAGATCCTTGTTGGCATCAGCTGTGGAAGGCTCCAGCTCCAAGGAAAGTCATGTTCTTGATGATGATCATGCAGTGATGAAGAGGCAAAGCAGCACAACTTCTGCAGATGATGGGATTTCCTTGTCCTGCTCTAGCATGGACAGAATTTTCCCATTTAGCATTGTGTTTAAAACTGGAGCTGCTCAAAACTCTGGTTTAGATATTCATGAAGCCCCATCTCTGAGATTGGAATCTACGGTGGAGAAGTCAGTAGGGATTGATCAAACGGTTGTGAAGCCAGGCTATGGAAATGATCAAAGTTATGTTGTTGGTGATGATATTGAAATTGGGTTGACAAAGAAGGGTATTTGCTTGACATGGAAGGACCTGTGGGTTGGTGTATCTGATGGGAAATATGGGAAGAGAATGATTTTGCAGGAGCTTACAGGGTTTGCTCAACCTGGTGAGATGTTGGCTATCATGGGTCCTTCTGGCTCTGGCAAATCCACCCTTTTGGATGCTTTGGCAGGTAGCTCCCAATTTCAAATTTATTTTCTTATATTGTAAGTAATTTTTTTTGGATAGCTTTTGAAATGGCTAAAAACGCTTTCTAACAACGAAAAAGGGGTCGTATAAGCACTTTTTGGAGAAGCACCTGCTATGTCCTTATTCAAGAAGTAATCCTGAGTGCTTTTCCATGAAGCACCTGGATTTCTTATGAAAATTTCAACATTTTTATAATAAAAGCTGTTTTTCTAGAAGCGCTTATGACCATAGGTGCTTTCTAGATAAGCAGTCCCAAACCAGCCTGTTCAAATCTACTCTGTGTTGACCTTTTAGTTAATTTGAATTATTTGATAAAGTCAGCTTGGCAGCTATGAAGTTTTCTTTATTCCATAAAAAAAGATACTGCTGAAAAACATTTGAATATTGCAGGCAGGCTAAGTTCAAACACACAGCAGACAGGGGAGATTTTAATCAATGGCCGTAGAGAAACACTTGCTTTTGGAACTTCGGTAAGAATAGTGAAGGAAGGAACACATTATGTATGCATATCTAATCACATACAATCCACTGTAATGAACCAAACCTTCACACCTTAATGTGAAATCTTCTTGATTGCCATCTGAACCTTCCGATTGCCTGAAATCTGGTTTATGTACAATACTTTCTCATTTTCATATCAAAGTGTTCTCTAACTACTCTTGTAAGAAATAAGAATTTGGATTGTCTCTTTTTCCTGGAAAGGTCAATAGTAATCGCTGCGTTTGATTTATTGATATGCAGGCATACGTGACTCAAGATGACACTCTAATGACTACATTAACAGTCAGGGAAGCTGTATATTACTCAGCACAACTCCAACTGCCTGACTCCATGTCCAAAGTAGAAAAGAAGGAAAGAGCAGAGATGACAATCAGAGAGATGGGCTTGCAAGACTCCATGGACACAAGAATTGGCGGTTGGAGCGTAAAAGGCCTCAGTGGTGGACAGAAAAGAAGAGTTAGCATTTGCATTGAAATATTGACTCGTCCCAAGCTTCTCTTCCTTGATGAGCCTACAAGTGGGCTAGACAGTGCAGCATCTTACCATGTCATGAACCGCATTGTTAAGCTAGCGCACCGGGATGGAAGGACCGTTATTGCATCAATTCATCAACCTAGCAGTGAAGTCTTTGAGCTTTTCCAAAACCTTTGCCTTCTATCCTCTGGTAGAACAGTCTACTTTGGCCCTGCTTCAATGGCAGAACAGGTATTAAACTTATTTGAAGAATGAATGTGCAACCTCGAATCATTCTGACTTTCATCAGCATGAATAAGTTTACTTCTTATGAGCAATTAAATAATTGTGCCAATCTAAATGGTGCAGTTTTTTGCTTCAAATGGCTTCCCTTGCCCTACTCTGAGAAACCCAGCAGATCACTACCTTAGAACCATCAACAAGGATTTCGATGTTGTAAGAACAGTCATCCCTTCATTTTAAAAGCAATTAGCTTCATTGGATAAACTTACGATTACTCCAACAACCAAAAAATAAAAACAAAAACTTACCTTGAATATTGACGCTAGGATATCGAACAAGGGTTTGATGGCAAAACAAGCACTGAGGAAGCAATTAATATTCTCATACAATCATACAAGTCTTCAAATCATTTCCAGAAAGTTCAGAAACAAGTAGCTGAGATTTGCCAACAGGTAAATAAGCCTACGGTTTTGAATGGTTCAAATTTAATTTTAAGCATTAGCTGATCAAACACAGAATAAAAGGAAAAAGAAGAAGAAGAAAAAACATAGCTTGAGTTTCTTTTGTTTTGTAGAAAGGTGGGGCTCTAGAGAAGGGTAGCCAGGCCAACTTCATAACCCAATGCCTGGTTCTTACAAGGAGATCTTTCGTGAACATGTATCGTGACCTGGGCTACTACTGGCTTCGCCTTGCAATTTACATTGCCTTGTGCTTATGCGTAGGGACAATCTTTTACGACATTGGCTCCACTTTTGGCTCAATACAGGTAATTGGGTGAATTCTAGTGATATATTTCTCTAATGTTATCGCACACATTAGCCTGTTAGTATAATCTAATAGCTTCAAAATAACTGATTTTCAGGCTAGAGGTGCAATGCTCATGTTTGTTGGAGCATTCTTGACTTTCATGGCAATAGGCGGCTTCCCTTCTTTTGTAGAAGACATGAAGGTTAGTCAGTTTGGTTGATACATGTCCTGGTTTGTTGAGCATTTGTGGTGATCTGACCTTTTTTCCTCTCTTACTAACCAGATCTTCGGGCGTGAAAGATTCAACGGGCACTATGGTGTTTCGGCATTTGTTGTTGGAAACACATTCTCCTCCATCCCATATTTGCTGATCATCTCTTTAATTCCTGGAGCAATAGCCTACTACATGGTTGGCCTTCAAAAGAGCTTTGAGCACTTTGCCTATTTTGCACTGCTGCTCTTTGTGACCATGATGTTGGTTGAGAGCCTAATGATGATTGTGGCAAGCATTGTGCCAGATTTTCTCATGGGAATTATTACTGGTGCCGGAATTCAAGGAGTGATGATGTTGAATGGAGGTTTCTTCCGATTGCCGAAAGATCTTCCTAAGCCTTTCTGGAGATACCCAATGTACTACATTGCATTCCACAAGTATGCAAATGAAGGATTCTATAAAAATGAGTTTGAAGGACTAACATTTCCTAATGATCAAGCAGCAGGGCCGTCCACGATTACTGGCGAAGAAATATTGCGTAGTATTTGGCAAGTGCAGATGGGCTACTCTAAGTGGGTTGATCTTGCCATTTTGTTTGGGATGGTAATTGTTTATAGGCTCATGTTTCTGGGGATCATAAAGACCACAGAAAAGTTTGTACCAATTATCAAAGCTCTCTTAGTTGGTACTCCCAAGCACTCTTCTTAACAGATCACAGAGAACCAATCCTCCAAGCCTCTCTGTGAACTTTTCGGAAAGGCATGCTGGGTATAATTGAAATTTCTTTCAAATAAAATTACTCTATAGTCCACACCTGTAAGATTCTGATACCATGTCAAAGACATGGTTTTCCAGAGGATATAGCTTCTGCTCATTGTTACTGGTGGTTAGAAGCTTTTAAAAGAGGCTTCTTCTATCACTGAAATCAGACCACTCTCACTCTATACCTTCCAAAGACAGATATTGTGGCTCATACCCTTTGTGCTTAAGAACGTCTCCTGCTCCGTTAACGTAAGTTGAAAATCTCAAGTTCAATATCCAAATGGGATCACCACAGAACCTGTTTTGGTGGTTCTGCACTGGCACAGGGAGAAAGCAATATTAATGCAATTTTACAAAGGGCTTTCCGGCCTTAGAATTACATTCCATCAGAACAGCCTGCATTAATATTGTTATAGGTTAACTCCTTTGAAAAGAAAAAAAAAAGGACAGAAAACAAAGAAACAAATCCACCCTAGTCAAGCAATGTGCTCCGATGGACAGGGAGAAAGCAGCCTTCAATGTACTAAAATTTAAGCCAAACTACTGTTAGCACTCCTCATTTAGCTTCTTCCACTCCAAAATTGACAGTCACGCCGAAGCCTTGGAAACTTAAAACGACTTGTTGCTTCGTCCAGACTTTAGAACCACAGAAGTAAAAAAAAAGGATAATGGGCTTTCTTGTCTGGGCTTGGGCCTGCAATCTGTCCAAAATACAAGCTGAGTTTCCTTTTCTGGCCCAACAAAGGACTAGATTTTGTTTCCTAATGTTAACCCACATGGGGTTTAGGGAGTGTGTCGAGGGATTCAATCCAATCGTCCAAGAATAACATTTTTATTGATCGAATTGTAATGCTTTTGATTGTGAACCTTTTGAGTGTTTTTAATTGTTAACCTCTGCTTCTATATTAAAATCTCTAATAACTTCAAGAAATTAGTTCATATTAAATGAATTGTGTTAAATTCTTCAAAGTTGCGGCCCGTGCTTACGTTAATTTTGCTTTTAGAAAGAGTGCTGCTATTTCCACCCCCTTATTTTATGTTCCCACCCGCCTTATCTTTTCACCCACCATATAAATTTGAAAAAATACAATCCTATTTTCTCACCCACAATTATTGCTAAAATACCCTTTAAATTAATTCAAACAATTATAAAAAATAAAAAAGAAAAAAGAAAAAAGAACCATCAACCACCGCCCACCACCCCTCTTTCTTCCTCTTTGTTTATCTTCTTCTTCTTCTTCTTCTCTCTCTCTCTCTCTCTCTAGAAAACAAGGAATACATAAGTTGATTGTGGATCAACCCTTAAGTTGACTAGGGTTCAGTTGGACCTGCGATCCATATCCCACCGTCATCGACCAGGGGAGGTAGTGCTGGGTTTGTGATGACTGGTGGTTTCTGTACAATCTTTTTATTTTTTCAATTTTTTATTCTTTTAATTTTGAGGAAGATGGAGACCACCCATATGAAAAGATTGAAGGATTGAGATTAAGATTACGTTGTTGTTGATGTTAAGGAAGAAAAGGACAAATTTTGAAAACAAACAACAGATGTTAAATAAAATTGTTCTTTGTACATGAAAGAGAGATAGAGGAAGGAATTTTTTTCCCCTTTTTTTTAAAAACTAATATATTGTGTTGTGAAAGAAAATTAATTAACTTTATATGATTTTTTAAATATGTTTTTTCAAGTCCTTTGAAGTAATTTTATAAAGGGATAAATTTATCTTTAAAATTTTGAAAATAAGGTGAGTGGGAAAATAAAACAGGTGGGTGGAAATAGCAACACTCTTTAGAAATTGTCAAATCTTCTAGGAGTTGAAGCCCCAATTTTTTTATATATATAAAACTTCATATCCCTTTCCTTCCTTTAAATAGACAGCTTTTTATTTTTCTCCAATGGTTTGGGAGTTGCTAACAGAAAAAAGACTAATCATATAACATGCAGAGTAACATTGAATGTTCAAACAGTGATCCTTAACATATAAATGACATTTCCATCCAACATTTTGGGAAACAGAGTACAGTTGACAATTGTTTCTATAAATGCACACCATTTCTTCTATACCTTTTGGTTGACCAAAAAAAACAAGACTTTTTTTGTTCATGGTTGCTAGCGATAATTGTTCCTATATATCACAAAAATGACAAAGTTTTTAATTGTTTATACAATTTTTTTTATACAAATGATAATCTAAATTACTCTAATTTACGAGAAAGTTGACTTAAATTTGGAGGGACTGACTAACTGCTCTGACCAACTGGCGTAATTCACGTGTGCTAATTGTTTGCACTTATAATTGATTTGCATGCAGACAAATTTCTTCCTCGTTAAGACCAAGCCCAAATGAAAAAGTTATTTGCTATTTGACAAAAAAAGTTTCCATTTGACAAAAAAAGAAGATCAGCCTCCATTTATACATAGGTGCCAAAAGAACTAACTGCAATGGTCGCAAGGTTTGTGGCATACTTTGTTTGAAACGCGCGTTCAACCCACCTTATTGTAGTAAAACAAACCAACTTGTTTTGAGCAAATTTATTTAATGAATCCACACGATTTGCAATGATTGTTTCAAAACTCGGCTTTGGACCTCTTCGGATTGGCCTGCCAGGACATGATCCTTCTTGTAACTTTTCTTGGAAAAGAAGAAGTTTTACCATGTGGTTTTGTATGATGAATTGGATTAATTAAGCTCTTATTGAATCACCATGCGGCTACAATTGAATACTAACTCCCTTTATTAGTTTGTGTTAGTATTAATCATATACTTTCTAAAAGTTAATTGTCGATATGAAGAAAAAAATTATCGGGATAAGAGTTTGTAACTCAAGTGGTTAATAGCAGTTATCATCCACATGACGTGATTTTAGTCAGATGGTTTAACTCAATGGCATGAAATAGCTAGTTGGAGGAGAACATATAGAAATGACCAATAAACAGACACTCAAAGAGTAGCTCTTGTGTAAGTACGGTACATGCAATGAAGACGCACATTTATAAGGAGGTTGGATATATAGATAGCAATCTACCTCCATACCTGAAATGGAAACGACAGATATGACAATATAATTTTAGATGGGGAGTTGGCAGGCTCGCCAATATTCAACAAATCAATGGAATTGATAGAGGACATAACTAAGAGGGGTGTATTCAATTGAAATTTTAATAGATTGTTTTGAAGCTTAAAAGTCTAGGGGTATCCAATTAGGATTCTTAAGTAATCAATAAAAATCTGGTGGTATTCAATTAGGATTTTTAAATAATCAATCCAAGTCTTGTGGTATTCAATTAGGACTTTTAAAAGATAAGAAAAAGTACGGTGGTATTAAAAAAACTTTCCAATTTTGAGGTATTTCGTTAAATGGTGTATTGTGTGAGACTTTTGAGTGAGTGATATAAATACTAAACCCCATAAAAAATCCCACCCTCCTATGCCTGATTCTCACGTTTTTTGTTTTTGGGGAAGATGAACAGATGAAGATAAACAAGGTACTCATGTCTTTACAAGGGCTTGGTTTAATCAAACTCGATCCTTTTATATTTAGTGGATAGACTCAGATTGCTGTCTTTTGGGGGTGTATTCAATTGAAATCTTAATAGATTGTAATTACATGATTTTTATGTAATAGATTTCAGTATGATTTGTAATTACATGATTTTTCTTATGATTTTAATAGATTGTAATTACAAGATTTTACTTATGATTTTAATTCACGTAGGACTTTCTTGTATTCTCCAAAGTAGATTTCACCAAAGTGTGGATTGGATTCGGGTTAGCCATCTTCCATCCATTAGTTAAAGGATGCCAAGCCTTTAAAGAAACAGAAAGTTGAAGTTACACCAATCTTAGCTCAAGTTATCATTACTATCTATCATGTATCAGGGCAGTCCCTGAGATTTTGAGGGCCCTATGTGAAACTTAAATTGGGGCCTCATATAATCTAATACAAAAATACTATATAAAAAAATTTGCCATAACTTAATGTTATAAACAATTTTTTTATAACTAACAGTCACCATCAATAAATATGTAATGACAATCAGAAATCAAATTCATAAAAATTTAAATGTGTCCATTTGATAAATTTAAATGTTTGGTACAAAAATAAGCTCCTTGTGCCCCTATAAGGTCCCTTGCTGCCTCCAATAAGCAATCTCTGGTTAATAGGAAAAAAAAATTGGCAATCACAAATTAAAGAGTAGTCTAACTATTTGATTTTGAGTGGTCTTTATGAATTTAGGAATTATGAATTTCTCTTTTTGGTGTTGAAATTCCTAAAATTGAAAGAATAACAAAAATTGTCAAAGGATTGAAAAAAGAACCAAAGAAAGATTGATGAATGATGATGATTACTTACCAAAAAATCAGAGTTAAAGAGAAAGAAAAAACCATGAAGTTTTTTTGGTTTTGAAGTAAAAAGTGTTTGGGGAATATATATACTCTTCTTGTTGTTAGCTTCGATGCTTCCCTTTTTTTTTTCAAAGGCTTTCTGTTTTTTGAATTTTTATTTATAATAATTATGTAAAGTTTGTGGTTATAAAGAATAAATAATATAAAAAAAGCCAAATGGACTGACTTCAGAGAGAATCGAACTCTGGCGCTTCCGATAAGTGAACATGCGCTGAAGCCAAGGTATTAAATATCTGTAATATCCCCGATATTATCCCGATAATATCTGATTTTTGGGGGTCCGATATTTTAACAACTAACCATAGTGTTATCGTCAATATATCAATATTATTGTCACATCCCGGATCGGCTCCGCCGTAGCACGATATTGTCCGCTTTGGGCCCCCCTCTCTGGCCCTCACGGTTTTGTTTCTAGGAGCTCACGACCAACTTCCCAGTGGGTCACCCATCCTGGGATTGCTCTGGCCCCCAACTCGCTTAACTTCGGAGTTCCTATGACTCCGAAGCCAGTGAGCTCCCAAAAGGCCTCGTGCTAGATGGATGCGGGCATGTACATATAAGGCACATCAACCCCCTCTCCGTTGGTCG